TATATATATATACACACACTTGCAATATTCTAAAAAATGTTTCTAAATGTTCTAAAAGAACACAGAATGTCATGATTTCAGTTCCCTACCTCCTCTGCTTTTTGCCACCTGCAAGCACTCTTGACCACGCCCACTTCTCCTTTCTGCATGGAGTACAGCTGATCAGCTGCAGCAGGAAGTTTATCCTGCAGCTTGGGCTGCACAAAGGTGTAGGAGGTGCTAAATCATTCAAAATAATTTATTTTAAATGAAAATTCCATGCCGATCATGCGGCTCATCCATCAATCAGCTGACTGTGTGTCATGTCCAATCTTATTTTGAAAAACTGCGATAGAGCGAGTCCACGATAAACGAATCGCAAAGTAGCGAGGGACTACTGCATTTCTTATTTAGTTTTTTCATAGCAATAACTCTGGGTGTACTCTTTGGCGTTGCAGGTGGACACTGTTGACGGAAAAGCCGTTAAAATCACACAGAACGTCCTACCTTGCACCCTCGATGAAGCCACACAGAAACTTATCTCCCTCATTTTCAGCAACGACATGTTCAAGGAGGCGATGGAACATATGAACCTGGGTGGGTGTGTCTCCGTTGAACAGTCATTTGAAAACCTGCAGGTTTGTGTATGTGCGAATGCTTGAAAGACCTGTTGTGTAACTTTCAAGATTATACTAGTCTTAAAGTAGCGCAAATATTGTTTGTAAACAGAAAGACAAAAGAGCAGAGTGTGATATAAATGATTAACCATTATAGGGTGAAGTCTGCATTAACACATCCCATTATCTTAGCGTATTGAAATGCAATATCTTATCAGAGTGTTGCCTTTTTTTTTTTTTACAAATAATGAATTTTTCTTATGTGGCGTGTTGTCTTGTGTGTGTTTTTCATTTGACAGACATCAAAAAGATGCCTTTGGGTAAGCTCAGCAAGGTGCAGATTGCAAAGGGCTTTGAGGTTTTGGAGGAAATTGAAGCAGCTATGAGTCAAAATGGTGGAAGATCTCGCCTTGAAGAACTTTCTTCAAAGTTTTTCACCACAATCCCTCACAACTTTGGCAGAAACAGACCACCGCTGATCGACAGTAGCGACATTGTTGAAAGTAAAAAAGAGATGCTCATGGTGAGATTTGTTTATATGTTTGGATATTTCTGTTTGAAGCTCGCCCAGTTCTTAAATTCTTTATTGTTGCTCTTTTAAGGTGCTGGCAGACATTGAGCTTGCGCAGACATTGAAATCAGAGGCGGAGAAGGCTCAGGAAGAGATCGAGACAGTTCCTCACCGTCTCGACCAAGACTACATGTCTCTCAAATGCAGGCTCACACTGCTGGACAAAAGTACAGCAATGTTTAAGGTACTGTGTCATAAGTTCTGAAGAACATTCTCTTTGTAAATGATCTTAGACTTATTGTGAGTAAAGTATATACACCAGTATTTTATGAAACATCTTATCTAAAAATTATGCAGAAAAACTGGTTTGTGCATTTGTCACGTCTAGACTGGACTATTGCAATGGTTTGTTATCTGGGTGTCCAAATACTTCTTTAAAAAGTCTTCGGTTGATCCAAAATGCTGCTGCCAGAGTCTTAACTGGAGTTAGTAGGAGAGATCATATCTCTTCAGTTTTACCTTCTCTCCACTGGCTCCCTGTCAAGTCCAGAATTGAATTCAAAATCTTACTTCTAATCTCCAAAGCTCTCAACAACCTAGCTCCATCTTATATTACAAATCTTGTTGTTCCATATTTTCCTAACAGAGCACTTCACTCTCAGACTGCAGGCTTACTTGTGGTTTCTAGAGTTTCCAAAAGTAGAATGGGAGGCGGATCTTTCAGTTATCAGGCTCCTCTCTTGTGGAACCAACTTCCAGTTTCTGTCTGTGAGGCTGACACATTGTCCAGTTTGAAGACTGAAGACTTTCCTTTTTGATAAATCCTATAGTTAGGGTCGGCTTGTTATGCTGCTATAGACTTAGACTACTGGAGGACAAATTGACATCATTTCTTAAAATTAATTGTTAAAATTGAATAGTTTTCATTTGATACCATTTCTATTTTAACATGTGATTCTTGACCTGCCATTGTGTATCTGTTCCTCCTTCCTGGTCCTTTCAAACCCACCCAGTTGAAGCAGATGACCGCTTGTCCTGAGCCTGGTTCTGCTAAAGGTTTCTTCCTCATAAGGAAATTTTTCCTTTCCACTGTCGCCTTCGTGCTTTCTCAAGATGAGAGTTCTGTGATGGAGTTAAACTCAAAGCAGTCTGATCCTCAGATAAATAATGTTAAATAATTATTTTTATATATATGAATGTTTCTGTTCAGTGCCCTGAGACGACTTCTGTTGTGACGGCGCTACATAAATAAACTGAATTGTTTAATTTCATTTTTTTTTTATTGTTTTGTTTTTTGAAGATCATTGAAAAGTACTTAAATGCGACTTCAGGGGACTATTACAAACCAAAGATCATCAATGTCTGGGAAGTTGATCGTGAAAGTGAGGTAGGCACATGATGCAGTTTTGCTGAATGCAACGCTGTGAATGAACGCCGTGAATGAACGCCGTGCGCTCTGCAGGGCCTGCGTTTCAGCGAGAACGATGCAGTGGAGAATCGCCGTCTGCTGTGGCACGGAACAAACATCGCGGTGGTGGCAGCTATCCTGAAGAGCGGCTTAAGGATAATGCCTCACTCGGGAGGCCGTGTCGGTTGTGGGATCTACTTTGCATCTGAAAACTGCAAGTCTGCATGTTACGGTGAGGCTGCACAGACCGAGCTCCATGAAGATGATTTAGTTCATTGGAATCGCAGTATTTTAACTTGGATCGTGCGTTTCTGTCATTTGATTGTAGTTCGGCCCTCCAACAACACCGGAGTGATGTTTTTAAGTGAGGTCGCTCTTGGAAAAATATGTACAATCACCAAGGATGACCCTACCTTAAAGAAGGCTCCTGCAAGTTATGACAGCGTGGTGGCACGAGGCCAAGTGGAACCTGGTATGATACTTATTGTTTATTTCACATGATTTGTGTCACTCGTGCAGTCTTATATATTTTTTTAAACTCTTGTTTCAGATCCATCCAAGGACATTGTCATCACTCTGGAGGGAAAGGAGGTTGCTGTTCCTCAAGGAAAGGCCATAAACCAGCCCAAATACTCAAAGAGCTGCTTCAGCAACAGTGAATATCTCGTCTACAAAGAGAGCCAGTGTCGCCTTCGCTACCTGCTGGAGCTCAAGATGCACTGATGATTCCAACTAAAGGAGCTGCATGTCTTATTAAAAGTGCAGGTCCTTTATTTAGATGTTCCACCATAATTCACACAACGCCTGCTTCCTTTCTGTGCCTTATATTCAACTGCACGTGTGACAGAATGTAAAATAAATATTTCCTAGGCTCTGAAAACGATGTTGACCTCTCACTGTAGTGCATGTAATATTTTTTTTTTATCATGTTTACATGTTCAAAAGGATTGACTTTTGCACACGGATTTCTGACCTGCATGTGTTTTTGTCGTTTTTCTTGTTGTGACTGGTTTGACAAATACTGTGTATTATTATTTCACTGCAGAAGTGGAGCAGTAGGAAGAATATGCTGTTATTATACTGGGATAAATTGTGAATGTAATTAATTTGACAGGAAAATCAGTCAAGCTTCTTTTCTAGAACACTTTTTTTAGGTGAAAAATAGTCCACGATGGAAGATGTTTTTTCTCAATGCGTCTAGTTAAATTCTAATGGTACTGGTTGTTGCAGCAAAAATATATATTTTAGTTTTTCAAGAGCGACTTGCAGCTAAGCTAGTCTTTGCAGCTTAATGGACTTTCTGAATGTTAAGAAAGTAGGAAGAAGCAGAATGGAAACCAAGAGTAGCTTATGGTTCATGAAGTGTTACAAGTCCAATGTTAAAGACCTGAAGTACTCTTAATATAAATACATAAAAAAATGTCTTCACATTTGGTTTCATAGTTGGTAAATAGGAGATTACTAACGCAAAACTGCATTTTGCACTACGACATCATTTAAAGTTGAAATGCTTTAATAAACTAAACTGCACCTTTACACTTGTGTATTTTAATTTTCTTATAGAATTTTAAATGAGGGCTCTTCTAGTTATTGTTTAAATGCATTTTAGTCCTGCACAGTGGCTAATTGTCTCGTTAAAATGAAGGGCAGATAATTATTTTGCTCTGAAGACTTAAGAAAACTTTGTTGCCAGTGATCTGTTCAAAATTTAAATTAATCCAAGTCACATTTTTATGAGTCCTTCTGATCATATACAAAAACAAGTGTGTGCAAGGTCAACAAAATTGTTTGGAGCTTTCAACTGATTTGTGTGTTTTCAATAAAGCACATTTTAAATACTATTTAAATCGGGTGTCTTCAGGTCTGTGCAGACATCAGTGTTTTGTTTTATGCAGGATTAGTTTTAAAATTAATTTCTGTTTAAAAATGGTGGAGATTAGGACCCAGGGATGTAAATGGGGACAGTGGAGTGTGTGTCTAATGGCAAAAGGGGAGTGGGGGGGCACAATGTGTAACAGTCACTGCCATACACAGGACTGAAAGTGTTACTGGAGGAGGGGGGGACGACAGAATGAATAATTTAGCATGGAGCCATCATGGTGATCAGAGTCTTCTTCATGGGGAACATACAGATTAATTATGGAGCTCTGACTAAACCCCACCCTCTGTTACCTCTTCATGCTTAGGTGGATTATCTGCTGGTGTACTTTTTATGTGAGGAAGTTGTGCTTCTGGTGCTTTATGCTCATAGAACAAACTGGGATTAAACAAAGTTAGACCAGGATTAAAGCAGCCATTTGTTTTTACCACAGTGAACCATGGGTAAGTCCTTTTTATGCTTCACAGTATTTTTTTAAATGATGTTTATGTATTTGTGTCCACATATTTATATAAAATCGTTCTTATTAAATGCCAAATAGATTTACATCACAATTATTAAAATGTAAAACTATTTAAAAGCACAGAATATGTTAAGCTGTATTCAGCACAGAGCCAAACTTTGTAAATTGAACCTTTGTTGAACAAAGCAAGAGGAAATAGCTTTGTATCAAAAAATCTTTTACCCTGTAGATTTAGTTTGTCATGATTTGAGAAGTAATAAAGATTTTTTTTTTTGTAAAATCAACTTATTAGTAAATAGTGTAAGCCTTCAAAATAGTAAAATGCAGTTTTTACAAGAATAGGAGTACAGCTTCTTGTACTTTCTGTGTACAATTTCTAATTTACCCATTAATAAATGTATGTTTGTTTTTATCAAATGTGATACTTCATTTCATATTTAGATGAAATGAAGTAATTCATGATACATTTTCAATTAAAATAACTGCTTTTATTTGATACTAATAAAATGTTAAATGATTTTTGTTCTGTCGTCACAGGATTGTTACTTATGAGACCATTAGAGTTGGAAGTAAAGGAGGAAATGAATGAATAATGGCAGATAAAACCGGTTCCATGATAGCCTCCGTGTCCGATCGTCCAGTTCCAAATCTGACCACTTCCCTGTGGAGGTCCAATCCTACGGTTCCTGCAGATGTGGGCATCGTCACAAGCTCCCAGTCCCAAATCAAGGACCTGTTTGGGCTATTCTGCATGGTGACTCTCAATCTTATCGCCTTGTTGGCCAATACTGGTGTCATGGTGGCCATTGCTCGTGCTCCTCACATGAAAAGGTTTGCGTTTGTGTGCCACCTCTGTGCAGTGGACCTCCTGTGCGCCATTCTCCTCATGCCTTTGGGCATCCTATCCAGCTCGCCGTTCTTCGGCACGGTGGTGTTCACTGTTCTCGAGTGCCAGGTTTATATCTTTCTCAACGTTTTCCTCATTTGTCTTTCCATTCTCACCGTCACAGCCATCAGCTTGGAGCGCTACTTCTACATCGTTCACCCGATGCGCTACGAAGTCAAGATGACTATCAACCTTGCTATTGGTGTCATGCTCCTCATTTGGGTTAAGTCCATTCTCCTAGCTCTGGTCACGCTGTTAGGATGGCCGGCTTATGGACATCAGAGCTCCATTGCCGCAGGTCACTGTTCCCTTCATGCAAGCCACAGTCACCTGAGAAAAGTGTTCGCTGTGCTCTTCAGTGTGGCTTGCTTTTTAGCTCCTGCGGTAGTTATCTTTGGTGTTTACTGTGCTGTGTACAAGGTAGCTCGCTCTGCAGCTTTGCAGCAGGTTCCTGCTGTACCAACATGGATAAACACAACCCCTGCCAAGAATCGCTCCGATTCCATCAACAGCCAAACCACAATGATCACCACCACCTGCACCCTGCCCCAAAGACTATCTCCAGAGAGGGCCTTCAGTGGAGGGAAGGCTGCACTCACTTTGGCGTTCATCGTTGGACAGTTCTTGGTTTGCTGGTTGCCCTACTTCATTTTCCACCTTCAGATGTCTCTGACCAGTTCCATGCAAAGCCCTGGGGACTTGGAGGAGGCTGTCACCTGGCTTGCCTACTCGTCCTTCGCAGTCAACCCATTCTTCTACGGCATGCTGAACCGACAGATCAGAGACGAGCTGGTGAAATTTCGACGTTGTTGCTTGACCCAGCCTGCGGAGGTGGGGGTGTCCAGCCAAGATGCCTCATTTCAGGAAAACTTCCTTCAGTTCATCCAGAGAACCAGCAACATAGCCGAACGACGCTCGAGCTGCGCTAACTCTAACACCACAAACACGTTGGACCAGCCCAACATGATCCCAGGACAAATACCAGAGCAGCATGCTTAGACTGTGGTGCGTAAAATTATGAATTACTGTGCTGATATGTTGAACATAAAGTTTTCAAATGTTTGTAAACCAGTTTTTTTTTTTTTTTTTTTTTTTTTACAACTTTGGCATAAAAGCTCACTGGTGTAAATATATCTCAAACAAGTGCAGCCTAATTTGAAGTGATAGTTCAAATCTTTTGAAGTGGGGTTCTGTGAAAACTTTAATAATAGTTAGTATCTTACCTGTTTTAGATATTTCTTTGAACAACCAAAGGTTAGGGATAGATAGACTTTAATCCTGACCTGAATAATGAGATAAAGGCTGAACTGAGTGGGATCAAGACAAAGGTGAACAGCTGCCATGTTGAAAACAGCAACAATGTCCAAAGTTTTGTAGCTGTTAAGGTAAAAACAGTTTTTAAAGCTGTACACGGCTGTTGATTTGCATTACATCCTCCTTTTGTCAGAAATAAGACATTTCTGTCCATGGAGTTGTTTTAAAATGATAGCAGTCCACTTTGATCTTGGCCTTGCTCAAATCGACTCATAAATCAAGTCCAAATTAAAGTTTATTTTCCAAAACTAAAGTATTTTAAAGAGCTAAAAACGAGTTTCACAGAACTCCATTTGGAAAGATTTGAGTTTTTCTATAATTAAATTTTCCATCTCATTCAAGGTCATGATGCTAACCTGTGATATAACAAAAAATATTCATAAAGTCCATCCATCCATCCATTATCTTTAACTCGCTTCTTCCATTTTGGGTAACGGGGGTCGCCGGTGGGTGCCCATGTCCAGCAATCACTGTGCAAGGGGCAGGGGACACCCTGGACAGGTTGCAAGTCCATCACAGGGACACATAGAGACAAATGAGACAAACAAACATTCACTCTCTCATTCACACCAAGGGACAATTTAGTGTTACCAATCAGCCTAAAATGCATGGTTTTGGTCTGTGGGAGGAAACCGGAGTACCAGGAGAAAACCCACGCATGCTCGGAGAGAACATGCAAACTCCACCCAGAAAGGTCCCTAGACCGGGATTTGAGCCGGCAACCATATTTTAATATATATTAAGATTTTAATAAATATCAGACATTGACCATTCCATCAAAATGACTCACCAATATAAAAGGCTTCTGTGTTAAGTTAAATTTTAATTTAAGGAACTGTCAAGTATATCTATTAATGCACTACTACTTATGAGCTTTTCACTTGTCGCTTGTGAACAGGTTGAGTTTAGATTTGTCAAAAATTACACATTTGCACTGTTCGAGTGTTGTCATTGTGTTAGAATAAATACCATGAATAAATTTGTCATTAAACATAATCCAAGATGAAGGGTTACATCATTTTCAGCCCCCTTTTAGGCATCTGCATTTAGTAGAAGGCCAAACTGACAAAGACCATGCAGAATAATGTAGTATTTTAATTGCACAGCAGAGAAAGCTATGTAGTCTCTGTAAGTAGGTCTAGATTTTTTTTTATCGGTATTGGTATTGGTTATTGGCCAAATAAGTTTTAACATATCGAATATTGTGCATCCCTAATATATATATATATATATGTGTATATGAAGCTGTTTTAAGTGTTTATTGATGTTTCTTAATGTTTAAGAAATGACTCGATTAAAAGCAGCACACTGACTTCCCTTTATTCCAATAAATCATTAGTTTTTTGTTGGTGTTTGGAAGGAGCTCATGAATTGTACAGATAACACCTTCCTGTGTGAAACAAATATGCTGATAGATGGTTAATGTTATCTCTCCTTGTTGCCATGGAGAGAGAGTGGGTCGGTAACTCACATAGCAACGATGCCCTTCTGACTTGATGTACGTGTTGAGGTTTAGATCCTGAGTGAAGTCTGGTCTTTTAAATGCACACTGTCAGATAGAAGCTTGTTTACATTCAAGCACAATAACAGTATCCTTGATAATGTCAGGTGGAGATGGTGAATTTACAATGGAAATCATTACTGAGAGTTGATAATGTGCCAAAAATGGCAACAAAGTGCTGCTTTATGGCCTCTGCTGTTTGCATTGGTCCTTCAACAACAATGTGCAAGTGTGGTTACAGCAAATAACAGCAAACGTTCTGCAGAAAGGGCACTTCATTTCTCTTACATAAATGGAGTTTTGTATCTAAGGTGATTAAAACATTTGTAGAAGATTCACCTGAATATACTCAGGTGTGTGAGTGGCTTTTTAACTGGACAGATGTCCAACCATCAAATAATTTAAAATAATTATACACAAAAAACTTGTTCTAAAAATGTGAATCTCGATTTGTGGTTTATCTTTTAGGTAGAGAGCTAAAATTATACATCTACTTGACATTTAGTAAAACCTGCAGCAGTATTTTAAAATCTGATCAGTGACGTGAAAGGACAAGGACGACATGTTTTCAGCTCAAGCTAGGACAAAGTTTCTTTTAATAGAAATGCAGGCTTGTTTTCACCACAAGCAGCTGGAAAAGCAGGTGTAACTGAGCCGGGACACTTGTTGAAAAAATGCTGAGTCAGTTATTCATGCCTGTTTCACACAAAAGCCGTTTCCTCCTCAGATGTTTGAAATCTTGTCCTGTTCCAGACCTTTAAAACACAGAAGATACGTGGAACAAGAACAGCTGTAAGGGACAAAATACTTGCTTTTTTCTTTGGGGCTGGTCAGTGCCACGGTCTTGAAATCCTGAGGTTGCAGGTTCGAGCCCAGGTTGTGTCAGGAAGGGCATCCAGCACAGAATGCCAAATCTTTCATGCGAGTTAGAGCGCTGTGGTGACTCCTGAAGGAGAAGCCGAAAGAAACTTGCTTTTTTCTTTGAACCTGACTTTGGAAACAGTATTTTCTTCCTATTTAAAGGGTAACCATGATTAAAGAGACGTGGGTTGTTATGTGAATTTTTTCAAACAATGTTTAAAACCAGAAAACATTTGTAGACAATTTGACTAATACTGAATCTGTAACGTCGTGCCCCATTTGGATCATTGACACGAACTGAGACACGTTTCCCCTGAACTGTGCATCGGTGTAAAATGTGTTATGTGACCATTTTTACATGTTTTTGACCTAACTATAAATATGAATACTGCACACTGTTCCAGTTTTGACATTTATATAGCCTTTTTATTTTCATTTTCTTTACATTTTATAACACTGAGCATGAACTTTGATGAACCCTTTGGCGTTGACACAAGCTGAGCTGTTTTACTTTTACTCAGTTTATTTTTTAAGAAAATCTTACCTATACCCATATGTTGAATATAGACATACACTATTAATGTTATTGTATTTTACCACATCCATTTTGTGTTATTCTATATATAAAGTAGTCTACATTTGTGTACTTATCCAATTTATGGATCTAAAATTATAGACAGATGACTTCAGTCTCTTGTTTTGGCTTCAGTTTACAAAAAGGAGTTTTATACTAAACACACATTTCAATGGTTTTTAGTTGCTAACAAGTCCACCAAGTAGTGTTTTATTGATTTATTTATTTATGTTTATGCCCTGTGATGGACTTGCGACCTGTCCAGGGTGTCTCCCGCCTCTCGCCCAGTGACTGCTGGATATAGACACCAGTGACCCCCCGTGACCTGAAAAGGAAGAGGCAGGTAAAAATAATGGATGGATGGATTTTTGTTTATTTCTTCACACCAAATGGTTTGCAAGCGAGGTAAGATGATCACAACTGAAGTGGTTGAACTAAAGGCAACAATGCAGATGTTCAGGGCAGCTACAAATACCTTGGAGTACCCCAGGCTCCTCGTGGTGAGGCCGCAAGAAAGTCAGCTACAACCAAGTACCTATGACAGGTCCTGAAGAGTCAGCTGAACGGCAAGAACAAAGTGCCAGTCATCAGACACCCAGCTGGTATAATAGCCCAGTTAAAGGAGGAGACAGAAGCCATCAAGACTCGAAAGCTCCTCACGATGCATGGAGGGTTTCATCCCAAGTCCAGCACCCTGAGACTCTACTAAAAGAAAGGAGGGAGGCAGAGGACTAGTGAGTGTGGCAATCAACACAAACGATCCTGAAGTACATGCCATGTCTTGACCAACAGAGTGTGCTGTATGCTAATATTTCCCTCCTTTTCCATCTCTCTGGACATTTGCCTGAAAAACATTTCAGTAAACAGCCAGATGTGGGTTTCCTGCTCAAACTGTGCTTCTGTTCTTTACATTTTAAATAAGAGCCCAGGAAAATGAACATTGAAAAGACTGATAAATGTATGTCTGTGAAATATTCATTAGATAGCAAACATAAACTGTGAGTGATCATGAGTGATATATCCAGTGTGTGTGGACAGCAAAAGATGGAAATGATTCGATCTTAAGTGGGGTGAATCGAGGGATCGGGGTCAGGAGGTCAAGGTTGATGAAACTGTGTGAAGTCAAATGTTTTGTGCGTTCGAGTGCGTTTAGCTTGGAGAGACTGAAGGACAAAAGGACACTTAACATGAAACCATTTCATATGATGTTTTCACATAGGCGCACACATAAACATGTAGATAAACATATAGTTGCTAAAATGTACAGAGCGTCAGTTTCAATGTTTAAAACCTTTTTTCCCTGTGACATAAATTCATAAAGTTCATGATGTGATACCCTATGGAGCATTTAGTTCCTGAGGGAACACTGAAGCATTTGGTCTGTAAATGAGCTACATTTCAGCTCAAATAGGCTGCTTGTAGAGCAGCTCCTGGCAAAAAGCTTCTGAAGTGTTGAGCAATATGCATTTAATGGTCAAACACATGTCCTGATGAAAGGACTGGATGATAATGATGGCACCAGAGCATCCTTACAGTACTGTCAGGGTTGATTCTAATTAAGCAGCTTTCTCATGCAGCTATAAATGCGACAGTCTGTGTCACACAAAGACAATAAAAGCCTTCCTCAGATGAGGTCAAGACAGTCACGGGTCTACTATGTTCCACCTGGGTGTCAGCGACAAGCCCATCATCCTTCCAGCTGCAGCTGCTCATCGTCCATGTTTCCAACCACAGCGAGTGGAGACGCAGCTCAACGGGGTGGAAATGGAGGAGCGGAGATTAGAAGACGCAAGAGCACAGGAGGAAATGATGGAGGTAAAGGTGGATCTATATTCTGACGAGCTGGATTCTGACCTTGGAGATGAGAGGCCTCTAATTCAAGACAGGGACCCCAACAGAGTCAACAGCAGTCTGAAGGTAAAAACTGTGCACTGTCATGAGTATTTTAACAACAACAAAAAGAGCAAACAACAACAAATGGGACTTGATCTGAAATTTCTTCATTTGGTTTAGATAAATGTAAGAATATGCTATTAAAACATTAAACCACACTTTACTTTCATTTTTTTCTGAATCATTTGAGTTATGTCGGTGCCAAAAATATATGTGTGTATGACCTACCCTTTATGGCAGATTCACTGACCTAAACGAGGCGAGCTCAGTGAACAAGGCCAGGCTGATTCTGGCAGATCCTGATCACCACTCCACAGTGAGTTCAGGTTGCTTCCATCTGGACGCAGGTATCTGCTGCCCAGATGTAGAACGAACAGAATGAAACACTCATTCATCCCTGTAGCGATTAGGCTTCTCAACAAACAGTGAGGATTTCATGTCCTGTTATTTTAATATCTCAATGTCTTGTGTAGTATGGATGTTTTGTGGGCCTGCTGACTGTGAAACCAATTGCCCATTGGGGATAATACAGACAAAAATCTTTTCTCCATCTGGTTACTGTGTTAGTTTTGAACACAGACTGTGTAAAAAATAGAAGTTAAAGTGATGCATGACCCACTGCTTACCTCAAGTGGACGTACTGATGTGTTATTTTGTTCCTACACTGTTCTTTCAGTAGTGTACATCCAGTGGTGTACATGCCTAATGATATGTCATGTATCACTGGGCACTTTTAAATGGGTATACTGAAATGCTTAAGCTTTTCTAGTGGGTTATATATATATATATATATATTTACTCTGTATGGCCGAGTATCACGTAGAATACACCACTTGTCTTACAGACATTTATCTCATCAATCACTGTCGTTCTGCTTGTTGGGTTTTTACAGTGTACAAGATAAACACCTGCAGGGAAAGTCCTGACAGTTTCTCTCTCTCTCTCTCTGTGTATTGAGGTCATGTTTGAGGACGTGATTGCAGAACCCCCCTCTGTAAGAAGCTTCGACAAAGTGTGGCTATGGAGCCACGCCCTTTTCGAGGTGTCAAGACTGTGGTGCTACCGCTTCATCTCCCTCTTGCTGGCCGTGCCAGTGTCACTGGCAGCAGGGCTCCTCTTCGCTGTGCTCAGCTGCCTTCACATCTGGTACGATCAGAACACTGATTTCAAACAGCTGAGCAACTTAATTGGGCTCTAAGATCATTTTCTGTTGGTGCTAATTAGATTTTCTTTTATGTATTTTCTACCCCTTGAGGGAACTCCATTAGGGAGAAATCTGTATACTATTTACCAAATTAGCTCCTCTTTTGCCCTCCCCTTTGTGTCCTTGCAGGTTGATCATGCCCTGTGTGCAGCTCCTTCTCATCAACATGCGGTGGATCCAGACGGTGTGGGCCAGCATGCTGAATGTTTTCATCAGTCCTTTCTGGACCAGTTTTGGAAAGTGTTGCGGTCAGGTCGTCATCCATATGGCTGATAACAAAACCAGATAAAACCAAAGATTTCGACCGCGTGCAAAACAGAAGATATGCAGGAGAGAGCAGCAGTGATGGATAGCTTGTTATTTCCTGAGAGGAAACGTGCATTGTTTGTGATTCGTTTGTGTTATTGTGCACATGCCATGATATTGGCGTGCCGACACATTCATCAGGGTTCCCATTTCGCAATGACATTGACGTATAGATGCTCCAATAATGCACCAAGATGTGGCCCAACACAAGCAGCAAACATGAGATGCCATAAGAGGCGTGCTTTCAGGAAAAAATTTGCAAAAAGCTGCGAAACTGTTGATCTAAAAACTTTGATCTGTGCATCAAAAGAGACTTGCTGACTTAAAAAAAAAATGGAAAAGTTGCTATACAGATGAAAGAAGCCAAATAAATGTTTTACAGACATTCAAAGAACGTACGTGTGTGTGTTGAGTGTATTTAAACTTCATCAAGATTTAAAATTGGGTCTATTCAGTCGAAACTCCAACACATCTTCGATGTGGGGGGATTTGAGAGGGTCCACCACCGACCTCACACATTTCAATCTTAAAAAACAGCTGTCCACTCTCATGAAATACTTTGATGTACGAAAAATAAAAAATAAAAAGACGTAACTTTATCTCAGTCTTGTTATTCTTTGGGCACATGCAGGAACTGAAACAGCTTCTTGACTGTTTGAAGAGCTCTTACTCACACAAAGATCAACATGACGGTCGGGAATGAATATGATGCTCAAGGACACTTGAGCATGTGAGCAGCAGTCCTGCAGCTCCACTGGCAGGTTCAGTTTAAGGTGAACGTTCAGAAAGATGACAACACGCTTAACTGAAGCAATCTGTTTGAAACAAAGCATCAACCAAGTCAGCTGAGCTCGTGGTAAAATAAATAAGCACATTGTTCTGAAAATCCTGAGGCTTGATTTATAATAGGCTGCCACAGGAAAATAAACTCTGTGAGCAACATTTTTACACATATTAAAATGGTCTGTGAGAAAATCCATTTCTTATTATAGCAAATAAACTGTTTTCAGTCTAGTTTAAGGATCATTGTCATGTTCCTTCTGTGGGAACTTTTCAAACTTTGATGGTTTTTCTTGCTGCTGGGTTTCTAGAACAGAGACCATGCATCCATCCATCCATCCATCCATCCAGCCAGCCAGCCAGCCAGCCAACCAGCTATCCATCCATCCAGCCATCCAGCCAGCTATCCATCCATCCATCCATCCGTCCGTCCGTCCGTCCATCCATCCATCCATCCATCCATCCATCCATCCATCCATCCATCCATCCAGCCATCCAGCCAGCCAGCCAGCCAGCCAGCCAGCCAACCAGCCAGCCAGCTATCCAGCCAGCCATCCATCCATCCATCCATCCATCCATCCATCCATCCATCCATCCATCCATCCAGCCAGCCAGCCAGCCAGCCAGCCAGCCAGCCAGCCATTGCAAAGGAGCTGATATCCATATCCTGCAGTCATTGTGCGAGAGGTGAGGGACACCCTGGATAGGTCTCCAGTTCATCACAGAGACACATAAACGAGACAAACAACCTCTCACTCTCACCTAGGAAAAATTTAGTTAGCAGTCAGCTTAACATTCACCGAGCTACCACAGCCCTCTGTGTGGAGCAGAGGGCACCCGGGGCAGCAGATGATGGGGGTTAAGGGCCTTGCTCAAAGGCCCAGAGTCGGGCAAATGAGGATGGAGACAGGTGTGCGTGCTTCACTTTTCCACCCACATTTTAATGTTGTCGGCTCGGAGTGGAACCGGCGACCTTCCGATCACAGGCCCACCTTCTCTAACCTCCGCGCCACCACCCCCCACAAGATCATGCCTGAACTATAACTAGTAACTGTATAGTAGAGTATATTTGTGACCTTTCAGTTAATTCAAGTTCCTCCTAATGTCCTGAACTGCATGTGTACCATCACCAGGAGATAAATGTGTAAACCTTGATCATCAGTCTTGCTTTGAGGACCACACTTCACACATTTATTAAAAACAGGACATCCTCTGCATGTTTTTGTTTGTTAAAGACTGAGCCTTTCGAGGATGCTATTTTTGCACCCAGTCATGTTTAAATCATTTTGTGAACCTCATCACCAACCACATGCTTTGTTCCAACTTTTTATTGAATTTGCTGCATGCTTAGAACACAACAACAACAACAACAATAAAAAAGTCAAATAAAATAGACAAGACAAAACATTAAACAATAATATCAATATAAAAGTAATAATGTGTTTCTCACACCTGATTTAAAGTACACAACATGGGAATTGTTTATGTTGATAAATAAAAGAAAATGAAAATCATAATTTATCACATTAAATTTATTACCTTTGACCATTTTTTCAAAAATATGCAACAAAAATGTTGTGAGTCTCCTGACTCATAAAAACTGACAATACCCATTGTTGTTGTTCTTTGAGGAATAATGGTAAATGTACTGTACTGTATAGCACTTTTCTATCTAATCAAGATACTCAAAGTGTTTTTCAACACAATCTGTGCCCTCATTTACCTCCACACACATTCATACAGCACGCTTCTACATCTCTACAAAGACAAATAATAATAAACACCCACACCCGCCTCCATCTGCATTTGTCTCGCTCTGAGCCCTTAGGCCAGGCGCTTAACCCCCATTATGCTCCCCTTGATGGCAGCTCTCTGCTCCACGCAGAGGGCTGTGGTGGCTCGGTGGTCTGTAGTTGTGTCAGGAAGGCCAAGTCTTCGTGCGAGTTAGTTCACTGTTGCGACCCATGAAGAAGGGAGCAGCTGAAAGAAGAAGAAAAAAAAAGTACAAAGTGACACACCCAGCATTGGTCTTTGGAAACATTAGCACCCAAATAACTGGAGTCAGAGATATCACCTCTACCATTACACTCCAATTGACTCAACATGCAGGTCTGAGAGCCCCGTGTGTCTCTGTCTACATTTAATGGAAGAGAAGAGCCAGAGCAGTCTCAGTTGACTATATTGATACCCATGAAAAACAGAGGTATGCCCACGAGCTATTTCTGTCCGTCTGCCTCCATACCTAACCGGCTTCTTTTCTCTCCACTGCCACGCCAAGAATAGACATCTAATTGGCCTGGCATGTAATCACACGCACTCTGATTTCATTTCACCACTGCCTCCTTGATTCTGCCTCCACTACCATCAGGGAACTGGGACAAGGAATGCCAGGCTACGCTTCCTCTCACCCCCAGCTACTATCAGGCAGCTGGAGTTTGTGCTGTACTTCCTTCCACAGGGAGTATCTCTGTACCACCTTTTCTTTAGCCTTTTTTAGCTGGCAGCCCTCCATGGGTGGGTTTGTTTATGCAGCATGCTGCTATGGAAAGCAATGATTGATAGCAACAACTGCAAAGCTTAAATAAGGCGGTGTGAGTTTTATTTTGGGGGACTATTTCCCCCTTTGCTAAAATCAGAAATGTTTAACGAGGCCAAGGACACTGCACAAACTATCTGTCTCTCTTGTGCGCAAGAACTGTGAAAAATGAAGACGTCTGAGATGTTTTATCACATCCACACAAGTCCTTTAAAGAAACGCTCAGTGACAAATGACCAGTCAACAACGTAGAACTGTTTAATGAATCCGAGCAACAATGTAATATGCATATTGTGATAATATTGCTTTGTGAGTCTCTTATGCTTGTGATTCATTTTGCTCATAAGTTTGGTCCAAACTGAAGGCAGAGATGAGAATGTGTTTGTGTGGAAGTTAGTGCTACCGTGCAAACCCAGCCCCAGTTAGCTCGACGACTCCATGTGAAATGTGACACAGCTCTGGGTTCTGCTTTAAGGCATTCCTTTTCTGTCTGTGGTCATTACATTGTGTGCATGTTTGCGAGTGTACACTTCTTTGAGGGCGTGTATGTGTGTGTAGGGTGGGGGTGAGGCCTCCACTTTTACCGGGACGCCTGCGGCAGCTGTCCCTTGGCATGTCAGCAGGGGTGTCACAGTCCTGTTGCAGAGGGTGAGTGAACCGAGGCTGCTGCCTGCAGTGTCCACAAAGACGTATCCTCTCTGCGTTCGACTCGACCGGGACCTGCCACCACAACCATGGAGGATCAGTACCAGTACAACGCCACTGAGGAGAAGATTGTGAAGGACAGCCACACGAAAGAAATCGATCTGATTAACAGAGACCCCAAGCAGATCAATGAGGACGTGGTGAAGGTTTGTGCAGAAAGGACACTAAACTTTTAAATGGAAAACGTTCAGAAATGTAAACATAGCATGTTCCGTTAAAATCATGAGTATAGTGCTGGGCAAATGGACATGAAAACATGGTATTGTACTGGCTGAGAAAGCTTTAAATAGTCCAGGAGCTATTCCAGTTGCCTAAGCAGCACAGATTTTATTTTGGGAATGAGTTGGGGTGGAGGGTGGGGTGAGGTGGGGTGTGTGAATGAATATCTGTACTACAACATTCTTTCAGGTTACTGTTTATTTTCAAACTTTTGCTTTAAAATAATTGTAAAGCTTTATCGAAGATTCTGATATTTTATGGAAAAGTACAAAAAACAAAACAAAAACAAAACAAAAACAGGGTCACTGTAAACAAAACGTATTATGCCAGATTTAATGAAAGAAAAATATAACAAACTTAAATCAGGTCCTCCGGCTAGATTAAAAAATAAATGAATAAAAATGAAAAAACAAAATAAGAAACAATTAAAAACTTGTTGAAACGTTTCATCTTTGATCCAAAAGACTTCTTCAGACAGAGGAGCTGCAATAAACTCAGTCTTATAAATAGCACCTTCTCATAGTGGATCAACCAGTTTGTCACTGACATCCAGAACTAGCTGCTCACGTGCAAAAGGTCCATCAGCCTAACAATTGGTTGTTCATGCACTGATGGTTGCTTACTATTCACAGGGTCTGAGTGATATTAGCAATAGCATTATAAGAAGGTGACAGTTGGACACGGAGGCCTCCGCCCCTGTTTAATGATGGACGGGCTGTCTTGACAAAGATGGCTTCCATCACTCCTCTCTCAAAGCTTCGTTCCTCTCTATCAAAGATATGAACATCTTCGTCCCTGCACAACTGACCGCTGGCCTGCAGATAAGTGTAGACCGCAGAGTGTTGGCCTGATGATGTTGCTCTTCTGTGCTGGGCCATCCTTTTGGCCTGTTTTCTTAATTTTATTTATTTATTTTTTAATCCATCCATAGGACCTGACTTAACTTTGTTAGCATGCCAGTTAAACATTAGTTGTCAAACGAGTGTTTATGATAAATGATGAATTGGCACCTAGAGTTAAAATCTACAAGGGTCATACTTGAAAGCTGTAGTGAAATCTTGCTTGAAGTGATAGCGCAGGTATTTCAAACGAGGATTACGCTGAGGGATGATCAACAGTCATTGTTATATGTTGCAGCTAACTCTTCAAACAACCTCTGTTTGACGGTGGAGTTTAAAAGGCTAAACTGACTGTGTCCAAGGTCAATGTGTGTAGCTACCTTCTTAAAACAACTCCAGTTTCAAACGTTTTATAGCAGTTAACGAGAACGCTAATTTAATAACCAGATCACGAGCATCAGTTTCACAGAACACGCTTATTTACATAGGAATTTATGGTTATATGTGAGCTAGTTGTAGCACCTCCAGTGTAGCCTAGAGCACTTTCAGCAGGAACATCAAAATGTTTTTTCAATACTAATTGTGCAACAATGAAAACGTTTATAAATTGGTGTTCATGTAAACTGCAGTGACGTTTTGAAGAGTTGTTTTAAAACAGAATCGGCTCAGATTAGTTGCCAGCTCGTCAATTCAATCAGAACTCAATTTTTTTTCTCCAAACCGAAGTTGTTCAAAAGCTATCTACAACAGATAAGATATTATTTGTTCATAACATTTCCACAGAACCAACTTTAAAAAGTCTGAACCATTAAAAGTCTGCGTTTCCATCAAGGGTTAGACCTGTCAGCTATTTGTTTGTACAAACAAACAACTTTTTTTCTATTTAAGAATTTGACTAGGGATGCACGATATTATCGGCATGTATCGATATCGGCTGATATTAGCGATAAAGTTAAATATCGGCCATGGGCCATTCCATCAAAAAAACTCACCAATATAAAAAGCTTCTGTTTTAAGTTTATTTTTAATTTAATAAACTGTCAAGTATATCTAGTAATGCACTACTACTTATGTGTTTTTCACTTGCAATTTGTGAACAGGTTGAGTTTAGATTTGAAAAAATTTACAAATTTGCACTGTTCGAGTGTTGTCATTGTGTTAGAGAGAATAAATGTCATGAATAAATTTGTCATTAAACATAATCCAAGTTTAAGTGTTACATCATTTCCATCCCCCTTTTTGGCATCTGCATTTGGTAGCGGGACAAAATGACAAAGACCATGCAGAATAATGTAATATTTTAATTCCACAGCAGAGAAAGCTATGTAGTCTCTGTAAGTAGGTCTAGGGAAAAAATATTGGTATTGATATAGGTTATCAGCCAAATAAGTTTTAACATATCGGCATATCGGATATCGACCAAAAATCCAATATCGTGCATCCCTAAATTTGACTTAAACAAAACTGTAGAATTTGAATGAGCTCCAGATTATTTATGAAACGAGCGAGAGAAAAAACGATTTATTTCCACCCATCCTATCAAAGGAAGATCCCAGTCTGTGATCTCTACTTCGAACGCCCTTATTGCTTCCCATACCGAGCAAATCCAATCTGCACGCTGAGAAAACATTTCAGACGTGCAGTGTGTCTGCAGTCTGAAGGATGATTACAACAATTAGCTGACTCTATACTGAGAATGTGCTGGGCTTTTTTTTTTTTTTTTTTTTTTTTTCAGAAGGACTAGGTGGCACATAATGAAATCCAAAAAGCAGATTGGACCATTGTAGAGTTGCTCTCATGCATTTTACATGAGGCTAGCTCTGATTTCTGAAAAATGTGCTGGAATGAAGCGTTCGGAAGCAGCATTAAATGCCATTTCACCACTCTGACTGTACATAAAGTACACAGAATAATAAGTCCCTCTGCATAAATTTACCTGTAACACTTCGCAGCCTTTCAAAGCATAAACTTCAGAAGTGCATATGTGTGCTCTCAGTGATCTGTGCTAACAAACGCCTCTTTGCACTCAGGTGGAGTTTGAGGATGTCATTGCAGAGCCGGATGGGACGCACAGCCTGGATGGAGTGTGGAAGCTCAGCTACACCACCTTCACCGTGTCAAAGTATTGGTGCTACCGCGTTCTCTCCGCCATCTTCGGCATCCCGGTCGCTCTGCTCTGGGGCTTCCTGTTCGCCTGCATCTCCTTCTGCCACATCTGGGCTGTGGTTCCCTGCATCAAGAGCTGTCTGATCGAGTCGCAGTGCATCAGCCGCATTTACTCCCTCTGCATTCAGACCTTCTGTGATCCCTTCTTTGAAGCTCTGGGCAAGGTTTTCAGCAGCGTGCGTGTGGCACTGCAAAAAGAGGCCTAGGAACTCCCCACAGCACAGCGTTAAAGTGTGATCAGATGAGGTGTGGTGTCTTTTTATACAACCTAAACTAAGTCCTGGCATCTTTGCTTTCCAACTGACTCATCCTCCTCCCGTTGTAACATGCTGTGTCTCCACCCTCCTGACTCAGACTCACAGATCTGAAAGCCCACTGTGCATTTTGCCACCAGAAGCGCAGTGACAGCTGCAGCAGGCGGTCTACGTGGTGACAGCTCCGGCACTTCTAGGTCTTCCTCACTGAGGAAGAAGACGGCAGGCTGTCACGAGAAGACTCTGGGTGTCCACATTTACTTGTTTCACAATAAAAGCTGCTTGTTCGCAAGAAACAAGAGAAAAATCCCCAAACCTTTCTGCACTTGTGAATGATGTTTATGAGTTACACGTCAAAAGCTTGTTTTGAAGCTTTGGTTTGGTTCTGGTTTCAATTAACTTTATTTTGTTCACAATAAAGGTTAAAAGTATGAAAGAATGGAAAAACATGTGAAAACAGATGGACATAGACAGTCGTCTTTCACAACAATGCAATCAGTTGAATTTTAAGCTTATTTGTTTTTAATATTTTGGCTCATGTTTGGCTGCAAAGATAAGAGTGTATTTTAAATGAATAGTCCAAGGCAAACTAATTTGGAAAAACTTTATTACTGTTATTTGGATAGTTAAATTATAAAATTATTTACAGTATTATAATAACAGATATGTTTGAAATGCTGCATTTCACACTGATGGAAAAGTATTTGGTTACAAGCATGAAGCTAAAATTTTTTCCAGAAGCTTTTGAGCTCATTTAAAGTAAAAGTTTGATTCAGTCTTATTTTGAAAGGGCTTAGCCATCCTGACCAGTGAACTGTGACCCACTACAGGATGCTGTTGTGAGTCTTTATTGTGTGTCTCAGACCCATTTTTGATGGTTCAGTGCCACCACTAACATTTTTTTTTTTGTAACCTTGTTGTGTTCCATTCTGGCTTATTTCTAGTCTTTTATTTCTCTACAAGAAAATACACACTGACTTTAGCTGCTGCTCAGAAAAAGACACTATGTTAAACTGTTTTGCAATAAATTGAAACTGTGTTATTCAAAAACACCATCTGTTGTCAGACCTCATTACCAATAAAATAAATTAAAAGGTAAATTGAGCTTCACAACCACATCAGAGCTCTCGTTTTACATTTTCACTCCTTCCACGAAAGAATTCAAACAAAAATTTAAGGAGACATTTACAAAAAAACAACTTTTAACAAAGACCTGAGTGGAAGAAAGCCTGTACGAAAGAGTAAAAACTCGTTTTTAATTTAGTTTAATTTCAAACGTTTTATTTTTAACAGAAAAACTTCTCAAACTCAACAGCAGAGAACCTTTTCTATAAACATAAGATAATCGAGAACTTATAGAATTGCTTTGGAAAGGCCTCTGTTTGAGTGTAAAGCAGAGTTTTCAAGCTTGTACTGTTTCTGCACATTTGCACAGTGTGACCTTATAGGCAGCACGATGGCGCAGTGGTTAGCACTGTTACCTCACAGCAAGAAAGTCCTGGGTTCAATCCCCATTCTTTCTGTGTGGAGTTTGCATGTTCATCTCGTGCTTGCGTGGGTTTTCTCCGGTTACTCCAGTTTCCTCCCATAGACCAAAAACATGCATGTTAGGCTGCCCTCAGGCCCAGGCCTCGTTTGCAAAAGAGACTTGTGATCTCAATGGGAGTTGCTTGGTTAAAAAAAGGTTCATAAAATTAAATAAACGGAAGAGCGATCAGAAGGAAAACCTTCCTACATCCTCGCCACAAAATCCACACGAACATCAAAACAAACCTTTGAAACAATTCTTGAGGACTCATAAAGTTTTGATAAAATAACATATGAAATTTCACGATATTTATACTTTCAGACCCACTGAAAATCTGCCAGTCTCTGGAAGCGACTTCCTCATAATATACAGAATTTAAGCTCAGGGACAAGGTGCAAACTGATTTTATAAGTTTTGATACAGTAAAAGTCAGGATTATGGGCAATTTTGTTAAGAAATATCTATTTATAGAAACGAGAGGCTCTCCACACCTGTGCAAGTTCTGCAGTTATTAACCTGCATGCAGGTTTGGATCATTGTACTTTGAGATGTTGTGCAACAGAAGGACAAAACTAAAACCCAAGCAGAAAATCGTCTCACCTGACGCTGAGAAGAGAAATTAAAACGTAAAATGAAACTGAAAAGAACAATCCGACCAGCACAAAGGCAGAATGATTCTGTCGGGAGGCAGTTACCACCCAGCTTTTGTTTGTCCTCGTGTCCCTTTTTGATGTTTCCAGGAATAATCAATACGCTGCAGTAAAATTCACAGATGGTTCTGATGCCTGATTAAACAGTCTCACTGCTCGTGGAGATCTTCGCCTTTATTGTCATGCAGCGATTGTTGCATCCTGAAACAATAATCTTAAAAAACGGAGTTGCAACAGGCTGGACAATATGCTCAAAATTTAAAGGACATGACTGAAAACCCAACATTTTTTCAACACATCGCCCTGCTCAGAAGGCAAAAACAGACAGAAAGAGAGCATTTATAATCTGTTGTTGCTTACAGTTTTTATTTTTTTAACAATTTGTCAAATCTTTAGTGACGGGCATGACATTTCACGTCTAACACGAGCTGAAGTAACAGTTTACATGTGTGCAAATATGTAGCAAAGCCAACATTGTATTCATGACAGCAGAACAAATTAATCCTAACACGAGACAAGTCGTTGGATTTTCTGTTAACAAAAAATTTAAAAAGACAGTGCAATAAAACATTTCCTCTATTTACCTTTTTATGCACAACAAAGACAACATTTTGTATATTTAAATCCAAAAATATATATAAAAAAAACAAAGTTTGCCTTTCATATAGGTACTCGTGTCAGTCCACGGTTACCTCATGTGACTCGTCTTCATGTGGTGGACGTCTGTGTGATGCTCCTCTGACTGCTGGTGCTCTTGATGGCGAAGGTGGAGGAGTTGCTCTTGTGGCTGGAGTCAAAGTCGCGCTCGCAGCGGCACTGGGACGACTTGAGGTAGCGAGCGGAGCAGCACAGAAAGTTCTGCCTCAGGTCGTGGAAGAGATGCCCGGCGAAGCACATGTAGATCCAGGGGTTGCAGCAGCTGTTGAGGCTCGCCAGCAGCATGGAGATGATGAAGGGCATGGCTGAACATGAGGGGAGATACAGAGAGTAAGTAACAAATACTTTTTAAAGTGATTTTTATTCACAGCTAAAGGCTTAATCCTACTCTTAACTTTAATCCCCCACTCTTTTATCTCACCAGGCCAATTTAAAAGCTGACATTTTAACTCGTCACAAAAAGGGAAATAAAGGTGAGATTAAGGATGCTTACTTCTATTATCCCTTGGCATTAACAAGAAAAACAAACTGCACCAGTATTTTTGTTGTCCACTGTGACAAAGTCCATTTTTTTAGACATGCTGGATATATGAATATATTTTTGATTCTGAGGAATGAAGAAACATTTATCAGCCGTTTCTCTGCTTCGATCAGATAATGTTCTTTCAAACTAAAAATTTACACAGCTTACCACTTAAAATCTTCTCTTAATTTTGCTTAGTTTATGTTTAGCTTAGCTTATGCACTTTCTTGGTTTTATACTTTTTATTTTTGCTATTTTTGGGTGCACCTGGGACATTGAGTACACAGTTTTGTTCCACCTCATATACCTCATGTGATGCAAACGATAATAAAGTCTCCTTGAATCTTGAACCTTACATGTATACGTATAAAAATGAATATATCGTGAAGTTTAAGTTTATTTGTCACTAAAATTATTTGATTAAACAAAATCAACAGTTTATTGTTTTGCAAAGGAAATTACTGTTTTAAACATCTTGTCACTTTCTTTGCATTTGAAACATTGGTTTAGTCAAGCAATATAGTAAATAAAAACTCCATTGGATTTGAAGTTGGACGGTACAGTGGAGCTGTTGGTAGAGCTGTTGCCGCTCAGCGAGAAGGTCGCCAGATCAAATCCTGACCGGGGGCCTTTCTGGGTGGAGTTTGCATGTTCTCTCCATGGGTTTTCTCCAGGTACTTCGGTTTCCTCCCACAGACCAAAAACATGCATGTTAGGCTGATTAGTAACTCTAAATTGTCTCTGGGTGTGAGTGAGAGAGTGAATGCTTGTTTGTCTCTTTGTGTCCCTGTGATGGACTGGAGACCTGTCCAGGGTGTCCATCGCCTCTTGCACAGTGACTGCTGAATATGGGCACCAGTGACCCCCGTGACCCAAAAAGGAAGAAGTGGGTAAAGATAATGGATGGATGGATAGATGGATGGATGGATGGATGGATGGATGGAT